ATGTGTCTGGAATTTATGTCATGGAGTCATCGATTTTTTCATTGATTTCCTATTCCTTACAGTACAGTCTAATTTACGGAATTTGTCTTCATAATATATATATATATATATATATATATATATATATATATATATATATATATATATATGATTGCCGACAGTCTGTTTCATGCTTAGACGCAATCGTCAGACCATGTGTGTTGTGTTTTGGCTCGACAATTTATATATGCTGGCCAGTAGTTCATTATGAGTTAACCTATTGTATTATTCTAACAGTTATTTCGGTGGCCGTTAACGTTTGTTTAAAATTTCCTAGCGGGTTATTGAGTGGAAATAATTGTAGATCCGGATGCAGTTATGTGTCTATTTTATAGTGCCGTTTCCTATTTTTTATTTATCATTTCTTATTGATTATTTTAATATTTGTTTTTTGTTATTATTACTTTTACATGTATTTATGTGGGCGTTCGTAGTTTATTAATTTATTTATTAATTGGTTTGGATTAATTTATTTTATATATTTACTTATTTTTATATTTTTTTTTGTATTATTTATATTACTATTTTATTTAATTTATTTTCTTTTCAATACTATAAATTTCAATGAGACTGTATATAGAATTAAACATAATTCTATTCACTTCAAATTTTTCATAAGAAGTCGTTGTTAACCGTTTGTTTTAAGCTTTATCGAATGAAGTAATTTGTTGTTTAAATAGAGGAAATGCACATCTCTCTGTCTGTTATTTCTTCTGAAGATGCAAAGAAAGAAACACATAAATGAATCGATAGAACTTGTCGTTATATGCTTATGTGTTATCATTCTCATCTACATGTTGACTATTCTCAAGAGAGTTTAAACTTCTTTAGATTTACGAATATTATGAATAATTAAATTAACAAGGAGTTTTAAATTAATATCCACATATAAAACTATTTGAGCTAATTTCAACATGTATTGATATACATCAATTCTATTAGAATATATTTACGTCATACTTACCAATATATTCAGGGCAATTTGACGTGGTTAACGAGCTTGTTTCGCTAGAGCACTTACACGTGAGTAGTGAGTACGATACGCACTAGATGCTTCATACATTCGAGCTAGTGCCACACCTTAGTTCCGCTTAAGAAAAAATCTTTTGGTACCTCGACGTGGTGTATTGGTTAGCAAGCTTGTCTCGCGAGAACAATTACGAGTGATTAGTGAGTTTAAATCGCACTTGGTGCACTATACTTTCGGTGTTATGCAACATCTAAGATGCGCTTAGAAAATCATTTTAAACTGACCTTGTGTCACATTCGGTAGCGACGTAGACGCGCTGAAAAATACCCACACTTACCAATATATTAAAAATGTTGTATAAAAAATAATTGAAAAAGTACGCTATTTCGTCCTGTTTTAACAGCATGCATTAAGCTTGCCTTCGTGTAGTTTTAAGTTTACATTACAGGTTATCAAGCGAAGATCGAACTCAGAACGTTAGGAAAATGCCCTGAAAAAGTGAGCTTCCAAGCCATTGCTCTCCGACCGACGTCCGAGTGCGGTGTTAACAACTAAAGAGAAGAAACTACCAAAATTTTACCATTCCTCAAATACGGTAAGAAGCGCTTCTCGACCAATGCAATAAAGGCTTCTACGTGTAGTCATGCCTCAGAATGTAAAAGTCAATAGGTAAACCGGTTGAGATAAACATGTCGTCAAGGTTTTGGAAAACGAAAAAGAAAAAAAATCTGAACCATTGTCTACGAACGGTTTTAATTCGAATATGCTGGGCTTGGGCCAAAGCTATTAGTAACATTAAAGTGACCGGCGACAGTAGTGATACATTTATCTGACGTGAATAATTGATGAGAATATAAAACTGCCGCAGAGCGAAAGGAAAGGTTAGATCTCTGTATTCTTGAGTTCACAATCAGATTTATAGTCATTTTGCCAAGTATGGTAATTGACGACTGACAATAAGAATTAACTTGATTGTGATAAGTCCAGTGTTTAAACCCTTTTTATCAAGAATCAATAACACACAGTCCCTACTCCAGAATAGTAAGTATATATATATATATATATATATATATATATATATATATATGTAAACTTGTATAAAGCATTCAGTAATTGAGCTCAGATATGAAAATAAAGGATTTTGGATGCAATGGAACCCTCCCCATTTGGTAATTTCAAACAGCACAATGGTTCCAACCTCAGGTACAACCACAAATTAACATAAAAACAAACGGAACGAAAACTGATGCAGTGACTGATTGTGTGTTTCTTGGTCACAAACCATCTTGCAAGAAATATCAAGAATTTTAAACCAACATGGCTGATGTTAACCATACACTCCGTTGCGCTTTCTAGATTTAGCGTTTTCAACTGAAATGAAGCGGCGATATTATATTGAATAGATTACTAAAATTTCTGCTAGAAAATTTGGTTCACAGATTCAAGCTAAACACTTTTTCTCGCAATAATTTATCTTGCAACTTTATAAGTCTGCCATTCGTCCGTGCATTGAAAATTTCCTTTACGTCATGTTTGCTGCTTCTGCTCTGAATCTAGAGATTCTTGAGTAAAATCCAAAGAAGAATCTTCATTGTCATCGGTCCTAACATGGTATCTCAGGTTCAGACATTTTATAACCACTGTAAGTACCTGTGCCATTTATATAAATACTAACAGCATGGCCCGGCGTTGCCCGTGCTTGATTCAAAAATCGTACGACTCATACAGCAATCGCTATCACTTGACTTAAAATATTTTTGCCCTTCCTTGCCTTTAAAGGAGTGAGCTTTGCCGCGCTAATGTTGCTACATGCCTTACTTACTTACACTGCGAATTTTTTCTAAGCTCTATACTAAACATTAAATCTGTTACGAAAAAAGAACTAAACAAAATGAACACAAAACGATCAGCTTTAAAAAAAGGACTCGTATCTGGAAAAACCGAATGAAAAAAGAATGTTAACAACAAATACTTTTTCACACCCAGTTCTACGGAATCAGAATCAACGTAGAGTTTAAGCAAGCGAATGAACCAATTGGAGTAAAATGCCATGCGGATTTAAATTTTTCCCACTTGTGACGAAAGCAGCTATCGATTTTTTTTTTGCATGCTAGTATGCTAGTTATCATTCGTTTCAGTCAGCTGCTGGCTCTCACGCTGGCGAATAGAATCTTCCTGCCTATTCGTGGCAGCCAGCTATAGGCTCTCACTCTGGCCAATACAAAATGGCCGCAAACTACATGAAAACTGCCGTAGAAGCATGAAAAATCGATTATTTCCACTATCGATGAGAGTTGGGAAATGCAACGTCGGTCTTGGCCCTCCACTAACTTGGAGCATGTGCATGTGAATTTTGGTGCAAATCTGTCGAAAATTGCGGCCGTACATGCGTTACACACACATCCTTTAGAGATTTTCATGGCAGTTCTGATTAGTTTTCCTCTTTAGTGACTATCTCATCCCATTTCTCCCTGCAATGCTTAATCCTCGTGGGAGATGATGCCGACGAATTTCCGAAAGGAGGAATTAGGTCAAGGGAAGCCATACGTATTCATTATCTTCCATCACCAACAAATGATCTACATTTGCACTTGTCGTGATTTGAATCATCTGGACCACTGTTTTTGGTATGCCGTTAGGAGAAAGATCAAGCAACATTGCCCGCAATATAAGAAACGCTATCATGAATATGATAGCTATCAGGAAAGAGGACTATTTGATCATGGCATGGATTTGCTTCCAACGCCTCATTGAGAAAATCCGTGGAGTTGAGTTTTGTTTAAAGAATTTAATTTCTGTTTTTTTTTAGGCAAAACTGTTATATCGTGTGTTGACAATAAAATAAATTTATATGTAAAATCAAAAAGAAACAGTAGAAATTTCTGGGACATATAATGAGAACATACATCTTTCAGGATTTTATGCTCACGGGATATATTGAAGGCAAAGGAAACATAGGAAATCAGCATTTAACCTAAATAACAAGATTGGTAAATGACAGAACAGGAATGGGGACAGATAGTAAAAAGACAAACATTTCACAGAGGCAGGGATGCTAAAATATTGTGGCGAGACATAATCAGCTACGCCTTGAATGGACATGACACACAGAAGAACATCTGATTATACTTACATGTTTTTTTAAATAAAATGATATTGTTTCTATTGAATAATTTTCTTTTTATGTAGATTATGATTTGTTCTCAATTACCCGACGAAAGATGCAATTAATATTTGATTGACTCGTATTCTATGGTTTATTAACTCTTTGATGATTATTTAAAGCCAGAAAATATTTTTAGATTCTAAGTTTTTTTTTTTTTTTTACTGATACAACTCTTACTAATTAACACATAGATGGGGGAGAAGAAGTGGATCCATACCTATGACAAGGGAATTTGCGCAGAAGCGAATAAAACGAACTCTCTTAAATTGGAACTCGGCTCTCCGATTAACAATTACGAGCCATTACCCATAACACTACCCTTACATTCAAGCTTACAGCACCTGATATTTCGAAACGGTAACCCATCTAGATACTGACCAGGCTTGTGATTGCTTAACCGGTGATCGTACGGGAACCTGTTTCAAAGAGATATGATCACAAGCCAATTTAATTATTTGTTTAGCGGCATATCAACTTCTTATGGGTCATTTAATGCCGAAAGCTAATTTTCTTGGGAACATTAGTAATTTCTTTTACAAAAATGTATGGCTGGTAATTTTTTCTTTTTTTTTTACAAAAACATTGCTGGTAATTTTTTGCTATGCAAATGTATTTCTGGTATTTTTCTATAAAGATTTGAATACTTTCATTAAGTTTCGACCCAAATTTATGGGTTAACTATTTCCCCATAGCTAGGACCCTAACAAATGCTACCACCCCGGTTAAGAGTGTACCTGGGAACAACAGTAATTAAAACGTGGATCCACGCTTAGTTCACACTTGATTCGCTTAAGCTTTGAGACAAGGATATGAATACTGGCAGGATCAAACAGGTATGCGCCTCGTTATCGACCGCCGCAAGGACAATGAATGGAATCCTCCGGTGGGGTGACTAAAATAGAGAAGCGAGCCTTTTACAGTCGCCGGTGGTGCCGGGTTACTTTTCAATGCTTTCGTTTTACGACAAATCCACAATTCGCGTCGTCGAGACGCTGAAGATGGCGGCGGCAGCGTGCGAGACGCAAAAGGAGAAACTGAAGGAGAGACGAGTTGTGCAGACGACGACGTCAGAGTTCCACCGGAAGCGAGCGGAAAACGGACGAAAACTAGACGGAAACAAACGCATTCACCGGTACCGCCCGGGCGAGCGACGAGGAGTTCACGCGTGTCTAACCCGCCTAGCCGGTTGGTGGTCGAGTAGCGGGTGGCGACGACACGCGAACAACAGGTAGGTGGTCGGTCTGTAGAGACGGGCCGACGGGCAGTTGGCCTTAAACTTCGCCGAGACAGTGGTTGGATGGCCGTGATTTGCGTAGAGAACAGACCCGTGAGTGGGGCGAAGGAGGTAGTGACGGCTGCCTGCAAAAATGAACGACAATGCGAAGTAGCCAATCATTCGATACCTCGGTTTCCACCGCGTGAGACGAACGAAGAATTTAGAAATGGATATCGGCGGCCGGCTGTTCACATTTGACGGCTGCGGCAAACGAGGTGCTATTCTGACGAACCAATTAAGCTTTGAATTCTTTTTTTTTTTTTTTTTTTCTATTGGCTTAGTAAAAGATCGTAGGTGTTTGGGGGAGATACATAGAAAGAGTGTCTGCGTGTATTGTAAAAAGAATCTAATGGGATTTATTCTGCTTAACTTGATTTGGCACATAGCTAGAAATATGAGGTACCCTATCAGGATCGAAGTGGCTACATTATATCAATCGTCAATCAGACTAACTACTTAAGTGTTAATATATTCTGAGGCACCCTTCAAAGGAAAGCTTAGGAAAAAATCAGTTATAGAAAATATTCGTATTAAACGAACATTGGCTCTACTTTCTCGACGTATACGAATAATAAAAAGGTTTCGTTCAAACGCCCAAATATTTTTAGTTTGAGTTTTATGTCACATGAATGTTTTCGATAGAACTGTTAGATTTTGCAAGAGAGTAAACGGTAGCAGCACGGAACAT